GGTCTAGTGAACAATTGGATATCAGATATGGAATACTTAGACAAATTTGAAGCAAAACAAAAATTCATTAAAAATAAGCCGGTCATTAAAGACCAGCAAAATATTCAAAGCCCCGGCCCCCTGGCCGGGTAAATACAAAGCAAACGGCACGCAGGCCGTGGAAAGAATACATAAAGCTTAAGAAGGGGGCAGTTCAGTATTAGCAGCTGCCGCCTGGTCAGCACTCTTCTTGCTGGACTCGGCTTCAGCTGCATCCTTTTTTGATGCCTTACCCCCAAGCGGCACAAGCGCCACTACCGGCTCCTCCTCCTCCAACGCTTCCCCCAACGCCTCTTCTTCAGAAGCCGCCAGGATCTCTTGATTATATGTATCCGAACACTGGCGGTACGTTCTTTCCCAAGAGGCAAAGTCGGCACTGGGGAAGAGGCGGCCCTAGGTCATGCGCTGGATTTGAACGGAGTCTTCCATCATCTCCCGGACCAGCTCTTTCTTCTCTTGCTCGGCCTTTTCCGAGAGCTCTTGGGTAAGACTCTTCTCCTGGGTCACCAGGCGTTCCTTTACGCTGGCCAAGGATTTCTCCATGGCTTCGTAAGAGTACATTTTCAGGCGAAGAGGTTTCAGCTCGGCCTTGAGATTTGTGATGGTCGCCTCCAGCTCGTCATTCTTCTTCTGGGCCGCCTCTAACTGAGCCCGAACAGCGGCGGTAGCCTGCGCCTGATAATAAAGAATATCAATGGTCAGTACTTCATTTTGGGCAATTTGAAACATTGCCTTATCACAGTTAGAGGCGGCCATAGCTTTTGCAGCCTTTACCTCTTTGTTCTTCCGATCAAGCGGCTTGCAAAGGCCGTTAACTCGGAGCAGGGCCTAAGTACAAAAAAACAGGCGTCAGTTTCCAAACATAAAAGAAAACAGGCGTCCAGAAATTCAAATACTAAAAAATATGCTAAGTATACCTCAGCAAGGACCCCTGCAATCCCGTCAAGGTCAAGGGTGCCGACACCCCTGACCGCCTCCCTTTCAGCTGGAGGAACTGCCCTGATCATAGACTTGGCCATCTCTACCAAGTCAGGCTCCTGGGGGCCGGCTACATCAAGCATAAACAAACGGATTAGACTTAGTAACAAAGGGAGCAAGTCTAAAATTTACAAGGACAACTTCATACCTCTAGGCGGCCCAGTTGGAGTTTTAGAAGAAGTGGTCGGCTGTTTCTCAGCCGCCACCTGTTTCCTGGCAGAATCAGGAGAGCTCCCAACAGTCGTCTTCCGGGCCTTGGGGTCCGGCTGTTGGGAAGATGAAGCTCTTGGAGAACCCGTCTAAAAAAGAAGAAAAAAGTCAGTATATGCATAAACACTCCAAAAAGAGGGTGAAAGGTTCGGAGCTCACCAAGGGTGCCCCCTTCTTGGGGGAGTCGGTTGAAGCTTGTTGCATAATAGAGGCCCGCAACATGGCCGCCGCAGTCTTGGAGGCGGTGATTTTGCTCATGGCGTCAGCTGCAAAAACAAACAGCAAAGTTAATAAAAGAAACAACAAATGTATGGAACAACAGAGTATTCGACAGGCCGACTACCTCTTGAGCACCGACTGCTGAGGCCGCAGGCAGCCAAAAAGTACTCGTCATAGAGCCACTTGAAGCTCGGGACGCAGTGCAGGGGTACTTGCTCTCGTACCCCTGAAGTAGAGTCAACCCTCGACTCTACTTTAAAGAGTCCTTTATCAAGGATCTCTTTCTTAGCCTTGGGGGAACAGGCGGCATGCTACGGCCGCCTGCAAGAAGGGGCGGATTCCTGTTCCACCTATTGAAGCTCTTGTTCTGCTCAATGTCTGAACTCTCAATGATGAGGAAGGTGCTCCGCCAGTCATTCCACTTGTTTGCTTTACCTCTTGTCATGAGGTAGCCCCTGTGGCTTGTCAATTGATACCAGCCGGTACCGCCTGTCTTAGGGGTCCGGCTGAGATAGTTCATATGGGCGAAAGCCTCGAAGCTCGGCTCCACCCCGTGCAGTTCGCACCCGGCCACATAGCCGAGTACGTTGACCCAGGAGTTTGGGGCTAACTGCCATAACCCCAACTCATACCCATCCAAAATCCGCTGAACAGCCGGATGTAATGGGAAGCGAAGCCCTGCCTTGATGGCCGCCTCGTAGCAGCCAAAGCAGGCGCTTTCATAACTGGAACCAGCCGGCCAGACGACTGTGTCTTCTGGATCCGGCACAAACACTAGAAAGTCGGGGCCCATGGTGTGGTTTGCAATAAAGCTCTCCACTTTCTCTTGCATGGCTGTGATTCGGCCCCGAGGTACCGTGCAGTAGTAGGGGGTATTTAGCTCTCGGTAAGAGGCGGATGGTTCCGCCCAATTGTCCCCCTTCTCAACTGCGTGAGAAAGTCTCGCCTCTTGCAGGCGGCTGTTTTTCTCTTCTGTACCCAAAGAAGCATGGCCAGAAGAGCTTGACTCGGAATCGTCCTCCGACGAGTCTGAAGAGGACGACTCCTCCCCTCTCCCGGAGGGGCCCGCCTCCTCTCTTTGAAAAGGAGCAGATTTGTTAACTGTTAAATGGGAAGGGGTCACTATGACTCCCCCCACAGAATTGCCGGCATCCAGGCCGCCTTGTTTCACTTCCACATCTGGCGCCTGGTCAGATGTTTCACTAAGCGGCACCCTGTGGGAGGAGCCGTCTGAATTTGAGATCCTAGCTGTCTTTTTCGTTCTGGCCATCCTGCTCTGCATAGACACAGAAACAGTTGGACTTTGTATAAAGGGCAAAGATGGGTCCGGAAAAGGGCAGGCGGCACTCCTAGTCCTAGATTCAGCCGTCCCCGGTGACCGGCTGATCACTAACCTAGGTCGTGTCGTGTGCTTCCGTGGTGCCATTTCAGAAAATAAAAAGAAAATTAAGAGTAAGAGAACTGAGTTACCTGAACGAGTGACGGTTGATGAAGTTCTGGAAATCCGGTGCAGTCGGCTTGTCAGAACAGGCGGTAGGCAGAAAAGGTCCAAAATGTCAGAGCAAGTTCAAGGGTCCGAATGTTCTCAAAAAGTTCTCAAAGTGTGAAAATGACTCAAGACAACTCTCCCTTATATAGGCGAAGTGAGAAGGCAAAGGGTCACTTTCAGAATTCAAAATTTGGGCGGGAAAATCTCTCGTCCTTTCGCCGACTGACACCTGTAGCAGGCCCTCGCCTGTTACAGTGCGACACCTGTCACAGGTAACACGTGACCAATCACGTGCCACCTGTGAGGGGCAAATGATTAGGGGATTTTGCTCCCACCAATCGGAATGCGCCACGTGGACCAATCAGGTCCTGCCAAGTGTCCCCCAGTTGGAACAGCCAGGGCTTCCCACGTGGCACGCGCTTATTCGTCCACCTTGGACCTGTTATGTCAAGACATGTGGCATACTCCATGCCTAATGGAGAAACCGGCCACCCAGGTCCAACTTCCGAGGGAAGCCCAATCGGCCCTAGGCTTACCTAAACCTAGGATGGGCACGTTTTCCAAGGTTATAAATACCTCCCTTAATCCTCATTAAGGGGGATTACAAAAAAAACACAGAAACATTACGGAAAAAACACATTAATTACACACAGTAATAACCGGCTGATCTCGCTAACAAAGCAGATTACCTACGTTAATCACTCTCACCTAGAGAGACCTTATCACTTTAATTTCCGCATTAATTACTCCTTAATCAAGTACTAACTTGACCGTTGGAGGCGGAGCTCCCAGGAGTCTCCGTTATTTTGCAGGTACAGGCGTCCGGTTCCAGTCTCGGAATTGTAACTCTCCCGCAGGACATCAGAAAACCCCGAAACAAAGGGTATTTTAGTAAAAACAAAATTAATCGATGAAGAAGTGTTTTCTCACTACATAGTACTATAGAAGTATAGATAATGTTTCGCTTAAACATAAGGTTTGAGTTAATTGGTGAGTCCACGTGGAGTCTTGACTCAAGACTCGCGTTTTTTTTTTTTTTGAAGGAAGACTCAAGACTCACGTACAAGACTATAAAATTTTTGCAATAAAGTGGTGCAAGACTATAGGGAGGATGAAGATGTGTTTTGGATTCTAAAACTCAATTTAAGACTCTACAAATTTACAAAAAGCAATATGACTTTTTATTGTCGGCCAATAAAGAGCTGCCAACTTTTTTTTTTTAATATGCATCACTTTTACAATTGCACTATTCACATACCATGAGTTGATTAAATTTTTTCACCTCTTAAAAATAAATAAATGTTATTATATAATATATCATTAGAACTGTCATACTGTCTAGTTTAATAATGTAATTTTGTTATAATCTTTACTAATGCACAATTAAAGATATTAATTGTCAAAGTAATGTCTCGGCAAATGTGCCGGTCAAATTGATGCATATATATATATAAAAAGAGGGAGTAGTTATATATATAGTGAATAATCTGGAGTGCGTCTTAGAATAAAGTGTTATAAGTGGAGAAAGTCTTGTATGAGTCTTATAATTAAAAATTAATTTAAGCTTAGTGGAAAGCTGACGTGGTAGCGTCTGAATCAAGAGTCTCGGTCTGGGGATAAACTTACCCTAAAAGATGTCAATAATGTTACGAGTAATATTATGTTTGAATTCTAATTTTTTAAAAAAAAAAAATATTTTGCATAACTTTTACTATTAAACTTGTTTGACGTCATGGTACTATGTCATACATGGGTAGTGTACAAATTAGATTGAGTGATGCCGTCAAAAATACAATAAATTGCATCATTGAGTGAATCTAGAAGGTTTGTATAGTACAGTATAGAGCTGATCAAGTCTAGCCCGGCCTGACCCGACCCGAAATTTGACCAGGTTTGGGCAGTAATATAATATTAGGCCCGAATTTCGGGTTTGGGCAAAGGAATGGAGGCCCGATTTGTTTTGGACGGGTCTGGGCAACAGGTCTGGCCCGACCCGGCCCGAATTTGCCACATGTTCACATTTTCACAATTTCACATACCTGTTAACTTATCAACTATCAAGTAATAAAAAAAAAACCCTACTTCTTTATTTTCTTACTCTAGCAGCCGTCACCCTTCTTCTCCATCTTCTTACTTTCTTTTTCATTTCCTCCTTCTTCCTAGTCAATTATCAAGGAAAATACATTAACTAATTATCAAAAAAAGGCTAACAATTATTGTGGATCTATACCAGGTAATTGCATTGCTTACAATTTCGTTTTTTTTTTCTTAATTTTCGACCACTTGCTCTGTTAATTTGGTTATTTTTGAAATCTTGCTGCTGTTTTTTTTTTTTTTTTTTACAAAATTGGTACTACTATTAGACAATTAGTGTTATAATGTTATTTAATTGTTGTTTCATTTTGTCCTTTTTTTTTGTTGCTACTATTTTTATAATTTTCCATGGCAAGTAATACATTACTTACAATTTCATTTCGTACAATGTCGTTTTTTTTTTACAATTAGTGTTATAATTTTCAATTATGCTTACTGCTTAGTTGTAGATTTTTTTTTTCTTTTTGTTGCTACTTTTTTTTATAATTTTATTTGATGTTTTATCATATTTAAAGTTTCTGTTTTTGTTTCTTTTCTTTAGTGTGTTTGGCAGATTGTATTTTACAATCATGGTTAAGTCCACGGCAAGTAAAAAACGAGAAATTAATGATGATGATGTTGGAGTTAAAGAAGAGGAAGATGCTAGTGTGCGTGATGGTCGATCGACAGTTTGGAATGATATGGAGAAGCTTGAAACTTCAGTCAAGAATGAAACCAAAGCCAAATGTAAGCATTGTAAACAAATTTTTAGTGCCAAATCTACCAATGGAACTTCCCATTGAAGAAGACATCTTAATAAATGTGTTGCAAAAAATAATGCTTCTATTACAAAATTTTTGCTTGGTGCTGATTGTAGTTATGGAGGTCAAACCATGTCTTTAAAACATCCTAAATTGATCCCGATGAACTTAGAAAAGCCATTTGTATGTTTATTGTTGCTGGAGCTCATTCGTTTGCAACTATTGAAGAATCTGGTTTTAAACACATGCTTTCAATTGCTTGTCCTAGCTATAAAGTATTGAGTAGACACACATTAAGAAGAGATGCATTAAAGTATTAAGAAGAGGAAAGAAAACTTGTTGAATGTGATTTGCAAAATGCTTGTGGTAGAATTTGTTTTACTTCGGATAATTGGAGAAACGATAGTACACAGGATGAGTATATTTGCATAACCGCCCGTTGGATTGATGTTAATTGGAAGTTGCAAAAAAGAATTATTAGATTTGGTGCATTAACACATCCTTTTGATGGGATTAGTATAGCCGAGGATGTTTCTCTTTGTTTGGCTAAATGGAAAATTGATGGAAAAGTAGGGTCATTTACGTTGGATAATGCATCCTACAATAACACTATGGCTAATCAAATTAAGAGACAACTTGTGAGGAATGGAAAGGAGCTTTTGTTTTCCGGTGAATATTTCCAAATTCGTTGTTGTTGTCATATCATAAACTTGATTGTGCAAGATGGTCTTAAGCTCATTGATAGTGTGGTGGATAAGATTAGAGCAATTGGTAAGCATCTTAGGTACTCCATTCCAAAGAAGAAAAAGTTTTATGAAATTGCACAACAAACTTATCATTTGGATCCTAAAAAAAGAATTCGAGGTGATTGTTGTGTTAGGTGGAATTCAACTTACTTGATGCTTGATCGTGCTCTTTATTTTAGCGCGGCAATTGATCATGTAGTAGAAAAGGATAGTGGGATAAAAATGTATCTTATTGATGATGATGAATGGAATAAAGTGTCGGTGATTCATGACTTTTTGAAGCTTTTTTATGATGTCACAAATGAATTCTCTTCTTATAAAACCCCAACTGCAAACATTTATTTCAAGGGAGTTTGGGATATTCAATGCATGTTACTTGAAGCTGCAAATGGGCCACATTCATTTTTAATTAACATGGTGAAAGCAATGTAAAAGAAATTTGACAAGTATTGGTCAGATTATCATACTTTGTTGTCTTGTGCATGTGTTTTGGATCCTCGTTACAAGTTGAAATTTGTTGAATATTATTCTTTCATTACTCTTTATGGAGGTGAAATGTATGTTATGCAATTCACTTAAGGAGTATAGAGGTGTTGATGGTGGGGGTGTTGGTGAAAGTGGTGAGGTTAGTCATGGTAATAGAGCGCCACGTGATTCTTTTCCTTTTGGTAATGATAGGATGACTAATTTTGGTTCCTGGATGAGTAGTCAACAACATCACGTGGAGGATAAAGCTCAACTTGATCTCTATTTGGAAGAAAAGAATGTTGATTATAATTCCAAAATTGATGTGTTGGGTTGGTGGAAAAATAATGGGGCACATCGATATCCACAACTTGCGGCATTGGCTCGTGATATATTAGCCATTCCTATTTCTTCCGTTCCTTCCGAGTCGGCTTTTAGTATGGGTAAGAAGCTAATTAATCCATGGAGAGCTTCACTAAATTCCATGACAATTGAATCTCTTGCTTGCTATGAGGATTGTCTTCATGCAAAAGGCTTCTCTTTAGGTGATGTTTTGTTTCTTTTTAATGTTATTGTATTTTTCTTATTATTGAACATTCAACTAACCTTTATATATTTTTTTTCTATTTTTTCAAGGTGGGTCAAATATTTTCTCAACTCAAGATGCTAATTATGAAGATGAGCAACACAAAGTTCATATTGACACAGTTCAAATTGACTAGTTTTATAATGAAATTTTAGTGTTGTATAATTTTCAATATTGTTTGTTTGGACATTTTTTTATTTTGTTTGTAAACTACTAAACTTAAACTTTGTTGGATATTGGATTGAATCATTGTAGTATAGTACTCATTGTTTATTTTTATTAATTTAGTTGAAATTGTTTAGTTTAATGTTTTATGCAAAAAATAAACTCTAAATACTAAAAAGTAATAAATTTTGGAGTTTATATAGGCAGGCCCAAAATGGCCCGACTAATACGGGTTTGGGCAGCAGTGTCCTGGCCCGATTCCTGGCCCGGCCCGACAATTTGGGCAGAAAACATATGCTCTGGCCCTGCCTAAACTCGGCCCGGCCCGACATTTGATCAGCTCTAGTACAGTACGAGTAATATTATAGAAAGATGCACTACCTTTTAACCCCCCCCCCCCAAAAAAAAAGAGCTAGACGTTTCTATCCCCCCCAAAAAAATAAAAAAAAATAAACAAATAGAGATAAAATACGAAGTATAAATAAAACAAAACGTCACACAGAGTTACGGAGTACTCTACCTTTTAATATCCCCTTTATATATATACAAAAAAAATACTTTACCTTTTAATCTTCTCCTTTTTTCTCATCTACACCCACTACCTGTTAAAACCCTCCTCCTCAAAATTCTCTCACAATTTTGATTTGTCCATTTATTCAGGCGCTGATTAAAACAACGGTGGTCGACCTCCAGTTGCGGACTTCCTAAAAGGCGGTCAATAGTTTGCCCTTTTAGATCGTTAGGCAAAATCTCTACTTCAGGTATACAACTACAACTTAAGGCAATTATTGGACCAAAGTAGACCCAGATCTAGAGTATTGTTAGTTGTTCTGTCCTTAAAATTAAACCTCAATTAAGCTACTTTTTTTTTTTTTTTTTTTTTTTTTTTTTTTTTTTTTTCCGAGGCAAAGCTACTTGTTTCAATTGCTGAATATTAATTTTTTATCTTAATTTTATTGTTTGTAAGTTACAGTATTTGGTTTAGGTAGAAATTCAATCTGTACTATGAACTGGCTAAATTACTAGGCCTTTTACTCTTTTTGTAAAAACTCCTTTCGTATTTTTTTCTATGATTTAATTTAAAGAAACATTTAATTGATGCATGTCTTTTAGAATTTTGGTTAGTATTGTAAATGTCGTTTGCATTTTTGTTTAAAGAATCTGAATTTTTTTAAAATAAGATTGTTTGTTTTAAAAAAAAATTATATGGTTTTGTTGTCGATCTAAACTTCAAATTTTGTATTTAGGCTTTTTTTTTTTTAATATATTTTGATGCATGTTATTTATTTTAATTACACATATGCTTTGGTTATTAGTTGATTAGGCACAATATATGTAAGGATCTTGTATCTGTTCAATTCGCTATCCATTACGTCATTAACATATATTTTTAAAATTATATGGTTTAGTTCTCGATCTAAACTTCAACTTTTGTATTTAGGCCTTTTTTTAATATATATTTTGATGCATGTTATTTATTTTAATTTTACATATGTTTTTGGTTATTAGTTAATTAGGCTCAATATATGTAAGGATCTTGTATCTGTTTAATTCGCTGCCCATTACGCCATTAATATATATATTTAAATTTATATGGTTTAGTTCTCGATCTAAACTTCAATTTTTGTATTTAGGCTTTTTCCTTTTTTTTTTTAATATATTTTGATGCATGTTATTTAATTTAATTATCCATATGCTTTGGTTATTAGTTGATTAGGCTCTGTATAGAAAAAATTAGTAATATATGTAAGGATCTTGTATCTGTTTAATTCGCTACCCATTGGAAATAAATACCTTGCCTTGAGTAAACAAGTTAATCCCCAGACCATTATTATACTTCTGTGTCTTGGATTTCAAGGTTTAACTTGTAGCCATTCTAAAAAATTCTGAAACTTGCTACATTAAGTCACTAATATATGTATATTTAGATTACTTAAGAAGAATATTTCTGTACATGTGATGGAACACTGTCAATATAAGTCTTATACATTCGTTGTGCATGATAACTGAGTTAGGAGAGATTTGGTTTCACTTAATGCACGCATGGACCAAGTTAGAGGTAATTTAGAGTGTACCATGTTTGAACCAAATTATGAAGTTTGTTGGACCTCTATGTGTATGTATCTGTAACAGAATGTGAATGTTGGGCACTGAATATTTTGTTATTGATGAAAAATGGTAGTTATCTAGGACTTATTTGTTTGAGTTTTGTTAGAAATTCTGCTGTGTATTCAATGCATACTGATGGCTATTATTGTGTTTAAGTAATCCATTATGTATATGTATATATGTATATATATGTATATACATATATATATATATAGGAAAAATTGCCGGGAATAATCCGACCTTTGGCTCATCCGCCCAAAATAATCCCACCTTTCGATTATTTTTAAATAATCCGACCTTTATACCTATTCCGCTCCCAATGGTCCCAACCGGTCAACTAACTTGTTATAACAAGTCACCTGACACGTGTCAGCCTATGAATGGTAAAACAAATAAAATAAAAATTTTAAAAAGTATAATTTTTTTTAAGGAAAAAAGTTTAAAAAAAAAATTAATTGATTATGTGAAAAAGCCCCCACCAGCGTAAACCACCTCCCCGCCGCCCATACCTGCCGGCCCAGATGCCAGCCACTCCTGCCCAGCAGCTCTGAGCACCCAGACCCCCTCCCCAAACGCCGACACCCCCATCATCCTCCACCGAACAACCAACCCCGGCCCTCCCACCGTAAAAATTTCGGCCCCTTCTCCATTAAAACCACCCCTCAATCCACGAAAATCCATTAATACCATCCCTAAACCCTCGAAAACCTCATCTCCGCCCGATCCCGACGCCCCTCCCTTCCCCCGTTCTGATTTTGGCAGATTTCCCCTTCCCCCATCTTGATTCCGGCCTCCCACCCTTTTCTCCGGCTCGAGTTCGGCCTTCCCATATTCCCCCGCTACGATTTCGGCCTCCCTCACTTTCCCCTGCCTTGATTTCAGCTGCCCAGACCACCTACAATAGCCAGACGACGACCTGAGCTTCGATTTGATAGTTGGGGATGGTGGAGCAGGTAGATGGGGCTGGTGGACGACGATGATGCGGTGGCTGGGACTTGTGGAGGAGCGGCTGGCTTGCTGCCAATTTTTTTTTTTTCAATTTTTTTAATTTAAAATTGTAAAGAAATTGTATGGTGACACGTGTTCTAAAACCAAAAAAAAAAAAATAATTACCTTTTTTACAGGTAACCGGTCACTTAGGACCATTGGGAGCGGATTGGGTATAAAGGTCGGATTATTTAAAAATAATCGAAAAGGTGGGATTATTTTGGGCGGATGAGCCAAAGGTCGGATTATTCCTGGCAATTTTTCCTATTATATATATATATTGTATATACATATATATGTATATACATATATATGTATATACATACATATATATATATATATAATATATATTTATATTATATATATATATATATATATATATATATATATATATATTATATATATTCAAGCGATGGTAACGACTCTGATTGGAGTTCTAGTGATGGTGATGGCTCTGAGGAGGCCCGGAGTTTATAGCAACTTGTACGCAACCCTACAGTAAAGTAGGAAGATTAGTAAGGTTTATATATATATATATATATATATATATATATTTTGTCAATGCGTCTAATTATGGGTGTTTTGAAGCTGATATTCATTTATATAGTTTGGTACACAAACTTATAACTGATTAAGTACCCTCCCCCCTTCCCCCCCCCCCCCCCCCCCCCATGATCCCCCCAGAGTAAAAGAATTACATTGAGTAGCTTCATCATGAACATAAAGTAGAGTAAGGCATGTGGTGTTTGATTAGTTGCTATTATGATAATGTTAAATTGATTACTCTTGTCTACGTCTAAGTTAGTTTCTTTTACTTTGTTATTGTTTTGCCTTGATTACTCTCATGCATACATACACATTACATTCCTATACAATCATTTTTGTAGAATGTGCCGTTGGGATTTGCAAGGTCCCATTTGAGCTCCTTGGGGCCTGATAACTAAAGTTCATGTTTGGATGGATAAAAAGTACCCGTCATGTCTCTATGTTAAAAGGACCAAAAGTCACTAGATTAGACTGTGCAACATAAGGGATGGAATATAAAAGATGTGTCGGGAACAGAAGATTAAGAAGGGGACTAAAGTGGTGGTGCAGATGATTAAAAAATCTCCTCCCGTTTTCAAAGTGACAGATTATCAGACTTTGTGTAAAACATCAGCTAGCGTTTCGGTATCATTTCTAGCAAGCTAACTTCTGATGTGTCTATTCTACAACTTTTTGTGTGTAATTGCTTAAGCTTCTTTTGGTTCTCAACTAATGACTATCCAACCTCTAATAGGAACTTCTCTTTAACAATTTAGCCACATTGAACTTGCTAAGTGGCCTTTTGTATTTATGGTGATAGCCAACCACTTTTTATTATACTTAACTATAATTACTATTGCCTAAAAATCAGCTTGTTTCTCAATAACATATGCAAAAAAGGTAAATAGTCATTACATTATACGTAATTAATAAACAGTTGAATCCGGGTTTAACACTTGACTCTATGACTCTATAAATACATGAATATAAGTAAATTTTTCTGTCATATAAAGTCAGTTACACATACTACTTTCAGTGTATGTACGCTTTAATAAAAAAATAGTGTATTCCAAAAATAAATACTTGTACAAACAAGTAACAACATAAACTAATAATAATA